ATATTTAAAATGAGATGTTTATCATGTATTTGATTGTGTTTATCTGCAGTTAGTTACACGAATTCAGATATGGGATGAAATCGGATAGGGATGAACGAGTTTAAGAGTTTTTAAGAGTTTTAGCCAAATGTTTTATAAGATAGTATAGATATATATGGGCTTAATTAAATGAGAACTGATTAGTTTGTACTAATTGTGAGATCCAATCTCAATCATAAATTAACGGATAAATTAGGAAATTAATAATTATGACAGTTTGAGTTAAAATTATAATTAGAGGACATTTTAGTTATTTTTAAAAAACTTCTCTCTCCTCTCTCATCTCTCATCTCTCTGAGCTCCATTCTCCAGCCTCCGGTGAACAAAAATCCGGCAAGTACCAAGTAATCACAAAGATACACAATGTGATACCCGTTGTGATATACAATGGTATTCAAATGGTATCATAGTATATCACAATGAGTATTACATTGTGTATCTTTGTGATTACTTGGTATCTGCCGGATTTTTGTTCACCGGAGGCCGAAGATTGGAGGTCGGAGAGATGAGAGAAGAGAGAAGAGAGGAGTTTTTAAAAAATACCTAAAATACCTATAATTATAATTTTAACTCAAACTACCATAATTATTAATTTTCTAATTTATTCGTTGATTTGTGGTTGAGATTGGATCTCACAGTTACCACAAACTAATTAGTTCTCTCTTGAATGAGTCTCTCTCTCTCTCTCTCTCTCTCTCTCTATATATATATATATATATATATATACTTGGGATCATGTGAGACCAATGGTTTTTCGTGAGACCCGTAAGATCAATTCTCAACCCTTGGGTTAGATCTACAATCGTTAGATCTGAACATTCATAAACGCTACGAGACTTCTCAATAATTACAAAATTGTCACCGTGTAACTTTAGACCATTAGATTATTAGCTTATAAAGTTGATCAATGAACATAAATTGGTCTTACGGGTCTCACGAAAAACCCTTGGTCTCACGTGAACCCAACCCTATATATACATATATATATATTATATATATATATGTATTATATATATATATACACACACACACACACATACACTCACATAGAGAAAGAGATGAAAGTATAAACGAGAACGCTAACTACTTAAAAAAACAAGAAAAATATCATCAATTTACAAAATTACATATATTTACTATATTTCATAACATTTACAATTTATTAATATTTTTAAACTTTATAAAACTAGCTCATAAACAACTGATAAACAAAATCAAATATAAATAAAAAGTGTAAATCCCTATTAATAGGGTAAATTACATGAAAAAATAACGCACTTTAATTTGATTTATATTTTGGGTAACTTACTTTTAAAACTTTTATTTTGGTAACTAAAATGTAAAGTTTTAAACATTTAAGTACTCGAGTAACCTATTGAAACATTAACCGATTATCATGTTAATGTGGCGAGTGATGTGATATCCAACTCAATATTATTTGCTATTTTTTCATACAATTTACTCCCTACTAATACAATAAAATGCTCCATAAAACCGATAACCAATAAAAGTATCTCTATCACTTAAAACCATACAAATTATTATATAAATTCGAAAAAAAAAACGTTACAGGTTTCAAAAGTTCAAAAGTACGAAGAGGTCTCAGGTTCAAATCTAAGGAGGAATAAAAATTCTCTTGTGATCATGGAGGTTCAAATACAGTGACTCCGAGCTATCTGCAAAACAGTTGATCGTCCTGAGATTAATCGACTTGCATGATGAGTTGAATATCCATGTTAATAAAAAAATTTAAAAAAAAAACTTTAAAGATTTCAAAACACCATTCCAAATTTCCAATTATAAATTCACGACTTTTGCACCATTTACATCTCAACTCCTCCCATTGGCGTCTCCACCACCTTCTCTTCTCCCTCCCTTTTAACTCCCACCATCATGGAACCATATACAAATGCATTGCTAGCCACGGTGGCGCTCCTCCTCCTCCTCGCCATCGTCCTCCGCCGTCGTCCCACCAAACTCAACCTCCCTCCCGGCCCCAAACCTTACCCCATCATCGGAAACCTCAACCTCATCGGACCACTCCCCCACCGTTCCATCCACGAACTCACCCGAAAACACGGCGAGATCATGCACCTCAAATTCGGTTCCATCGACGTTGTCGTCGGTTCCTCCGTTGAAATCGCCAAATTCTTCCTAAAAACCATGGACACCAACTTCATCTGCCGCCCAAAAACGGCCGCCGGAAAATACACTACCTATAATTACGCCGATATCACATGGTCTCCGTACGGACACTACTGGCGGCAAGCTCGAAAACTGTGTGTTATGGAGCTTTTCAGTGCAAAAAGAATGGAATCATTCGAGTATATTCGAGTGGAGGAAATGAAGTCGCTTTTGATGGAGGTTAGACGGACGTCCGGGGAGGGATTTGTGTTGAAAGATTTATTATCGACGATGAGTTTGAATGTGATTAGTCGGATGGTGCTGGGGAAGAGTTATTTGGATGAATCGGTGGTGGCCGGCGGTGGCAGGAGGACGGTGGTTAGTGGGAAGGAGTTCAAGGAGATGTTGGATGAGTTGTTTTTGTTGAATGGGGTTTTTAATGTTGGAGATTGGATTCCATGGATGGGTTTTATGGATTTGCAAGGGTATGTGAAGAGGATGAAGGTGGTGAGCAAGAAGTTTGATGGGTTTTTAGAGCATGTTTTGGAGGAGCATGATGGGCGGAGGAGGGCGGAGGGTGAGGGTTTCGTGGTGGCGGACATGGTGGATTTGCTTCTGCAACTTGCGGATGATCCTACTCTTGAGGTTAAGCTGGAAAGAAATGGCGTCAAAGGGTTTGCGCAGGTATTTCGTTTCATAATTAATTAATATTTAATATACACACCGAGAAACATTCTGATAACCATTCGTTTGTACGATATTCACGTGTACATACAAGTAATTGAAGTTGTTTATTGGTTTTTATACACGTATATATGTTATGCACACGTGAATATCAGATAAAGGTTCCTTACAAATTATTTTTATGCACCTATGCATACCGTCTAAATGGATAATTACGATATTGTTCCTCAGTTTTTCATTTTCTTGCAGTTTTACCTAAACCTAAACCCCCCACATATATATATATATATATATATATATATATATATATATATATATTTTGTTCCTTAATTTTAATTCTGATGATTTATATTGATTGTTGAACTGATGTTTTGGAATTCTAATTAATTTTCAATGTGGAGTAGTTAGAATAACACATGAATGTAAATTCGTTGTTATAGGACTTGCTTGCTGGTGGAACAGAAAGTTCAACGATGACAGTAGAATGGGCAATTACAGAACTCTTGCGGAAACCAGAAATATTTGAAAAGGCAACGGAGGAGCTTGATCGAGTGATAGGCCGAGATAGATGGATCAAAGAGAAGGACATATCCGACCTTCCTTACATCAAAGCAATTGCTAAAGAGGCCATGAGGTTACATCCAGTGGCACCACTGTTGACACTTAGAAGGACGCGTGGAGATTGTACAGTAGCGGGTTATGATATTCCAAAAGATACCCGAGTGATTGTTAGTGCATGGACCATAGGAAGAGATCCACGGTTGTGGGATAATCCTCTGGAATTTTGTCCAGAAAGATTCATTGAGAACGAAATTGATGTGAAAGGTACCAACTTCAAGTTTTTGCCGTTTGGCGCAGGCCGAAGGATGTGCCCTGGTTACAGTTTAGGAATAAAGACGGTTGAGTCAAGCTTGGCAAATTTGCTTCATGGATTCAAATGGAAACTACCTGGTCAAATGACAAGACTTGATATCGACATTGAGGAAAGATACGGGTTGTCGACTCCCAAGAAGAATCCACTGGTCACCGTTGCTCACCCAAGGCTTCCACTTGAAATGTATTCGCTTTGATTGATCGGATTTATCATCTGATTTTGAGTCTTTTGAAAGTTACAGTTACATTATCAGACAGTATCACATGTTTATATAAAATAAAGCGTTAATAAACGTTACAGTTTTCGTACTTATTATATATGTTCTGTAAATCTCAATATATTGTCTCGTTTAATTCAGTCTTGATAACTTTTTGTTCTCCCTTATTAGATATAATTTATGGTCAACTTCAATTGATTTTAACAAATCTTATCATATTTTTCTTTGAACCAATCTCTTCACATATTTTAGAACCAATGAAAATAGCATTTGTTCTATAAATAAAATACTGATATATTTCTCATCAGTTGGGGAATGGGTGAGACGGTTTTATCTGAATACAAGACAGGTCTTGCGTCTGACATGATCCTCCCCTGTTAGCCTCGTACTAGTTTCTTTGAAGACGAGTTCCGTATGTAACCGATTAGAGTTGTCTGTAACCAACTTTTTGTCGAAATATTAATATATTTATCATAACCCCCTAAAATAAATAATTGTTTTCATGCTAACAACATATTTTATTATTATTATTATTATTATTATTATTATTATTATTATTATTATTATTATTATTATTATGTATGTCCAATCTGTTATACGAGCCGACTAATTACAGAGCAACCATCTGTTTTTGCGGGTAGCCCAAAGTCACCGCATTTGAACCTTACAAGAGGATTTTTGATTCTTCTTGGATTTGAATCTGATACCTCCAGACACTTTTGACCTTTGGAGTTCAAGCTTAAACCAATCAGATGTTACCCTCATGATTAAACAGTGAGGGTGATGACTTTTATCTAGTTAAAACTTACTAGATAAATGGTTGCATATTAATGCTGTTTTAATGGATTATAATCTTAACTGGAAAGATAAGTAAGGTCACGTTTGATTGGAATGAAATGGATTTGGGGGAATTTGGATTTCAAATTCATTCCAATCTCATATTTGGTTTGTTGGATTATCCGGATTAGAAATACTAGTAATTAATTGAAATCCTACTACCATAGGATTTTGAATCCTTAGGAATATTTGGGATTTCACGAGATTTTGTAGGATTGTATGAAATAAGGTTTTAAAAAATGCTAAAAACATTTGTTTTGTAATAATCGATTAATAAAAATGTAATTTAATTATTTTTATAAATAATGAAATTCAGTTTTATTCCAAATCATACAAATTACGGGTGCTAAAAAACTCGACCAACCCGATCCAACTCAAACAAAACAATTCAACCCGAAGTAACCCGATTTCTAGTCAAGTTGTACATTTTTAAACCTTAAGTATTGGGTTGAAATTAGGTAACTATTATTTGAACCCAACCCAACTCAACTCAACTCGATAAACCCGATATTCTTGTATTTATTGGATTTAATATGATTGTTGAGTTTCTACTAATATATACATTAGACAATTACACTATCACATATCCTCTTCATATACACATATTTTCAATCTATTTTCCATCTATATGTAACTCATTCGTATATATATTCAGTAATTGTAAACATATAATGTGAATTGAGAAAATTAATTGAATGTGATATACGTAAGATTTAAGAAGTAATAGATAAGTGGTATCAAATGGTTGATGATGAAAAATAAATTATGAGTAGAAAAACAATATATTCAAGGTTTAAAGAATGTTTTAATGTACCAAAGTATCAACCCGACCAACCCATACAGTTTGGATTGGGTTGAGTTAAGATGTTTCAAACCGCAAACATTGGTTTGAGTTGTTCAAATGTTTTCAACCCAACCCAACCCATGAACACATATAATACAAACCAAACACACCAATAATTTCAAATTCATTCTACTTCAAATCCCTACATGAAATCTGAATCCCTCAAAAACAATTATGCAAACCAAACAGACCCAAAAATATTGACTTTTACCGATAAACGTCTCCTTAATTCATGCTTCCGTTGTATAAAAAATTGAAACTGACTTAATTATTAAATATTACATATATATATATATATTAAATATTATATATATATATATATATATAATTATTTTTTATTGTGAACGTAGACAAAAGAACGAGATTTGGATAGATGTGTTTGTAAATCCTATTGAAGTCAAACTTTGACTAAAAATTATGTGGTATTTATTTATTTATTTAAATTACTTATTTTATGGTAGCGGGAGTAATACATTACTACAACTTGTAGCTAATTAATGTTCTATTAGTATTTAATAGGTTTGATAACTATAATTTGGATCACGTGAGACCAACATATTTTCGTAAAATCTGTGAGATCACTTTTTCATAATTGAAATTTCACAGCAAAACGTTTTAAAAATGACCTTCACAGTGTGTATGCTGTGCGTGTTCGACTTTTTTTTTACCTTCACAGCGTTTTACTGTGAGGTTTTAAGTGTAAAAAAGTGGTCTCACAAAAACAAGTTGGTCTCATGTGAACCTCACTCATGATAACTAAATATAATATTTTAGAAGCTTTAATTTATTTTATTTCGTAATTGTTTGGTCGGGTGAAAATATAAGTTATGATGAAAAAAAAAATAAGAAGGTGTCTTCAACCTTCAATAACCATAATTGAAAATCAACACTAATGCGGTTATGCAGCTCCATGGAATGTGGCACTGGTTATGCAGCTCCATGGAATGTAGTAGCAGTAGGTCGTGCCATGTGAGGCAATCTAAGCCTTTGATTTGGAGGCGCATAATGTGCGTGTTGTGTGTGATGGACTGGACAACCAAAAGAGAGGTCGCATGAGAGGTCGCCCCGTGCCATGAAGGGGCTTTTAGAGTCGGGCGACCTAAACTGCCCCGGATGTAGCCCGAGTTGCTGTTATTCGATGTCGCTTAGTATTAACCGAGTTCTATAGAGGAGCTCATTCTACCTCTTTCTTTGCTTTCCTAAATGCTCTCAATCGTCCTCTTTCTTCTTGAAGTCTATTTTTAGAGAGTTTCGTGGAACATTCATGGGGCCTTTGGATGAGATTTAACCTTAGGGTTTAAGTGTGTAGACCTCCCATGACCTTAAAGAGGTAAGGTTTTGAGGAGTTTTACAATACATCTAGGGTTTTGATTTTGGATCTGATTTGGAGTTTATTTCAGATGATTGTGGATCTAAAGCCTTCACCAAATGAAACTCGAGATTAGGTAAAACCTAGATTTAGCATAATAAATCTAGCAAGTTGAATTCAAGTTGCTTTGTAAAAAGTATGAACATGCAAAAAAAAGGTCAATTTTTTGAAGTATTAACACCTTTTACTTGCTATTTATCAAATGTGTGGGTTATTTAGTGAGTTTTGCGTATTTGGTTTTATAAATCATGTAAAATGCATACATTTGGTTTTTTGAACATTTTGATAAATAAATCATAAGTGTGGGTTCTTTTGATGATTTTTCCTTTAAATGCAAATTATTTGGTGATAATGCATTTCTATGTGTTTGGTTTTGAAAAATGCATATAATTACGTTACGTGACACTTTAGAAATACAAATAGTATGATTTCAACTGGGAATGGTTTGTACCAACTAATGATGGATTTTTTTAGTTAAACATGTATTTAGATCATGCATTTGCATAAAACCTTGGTAAAGTATGTTTTTTTATGACTTTTATAAAATAATCAATTGGGTTGTTGAGCTTTTGACTCGGTTTTGACTTTAATGAGTCTTGGAGATATATTTGTTCGGTTTTGACTTTGATGAGTCTTGGAGATATATTTGTGAAATTATGATTTAAATCAACAGTCTTTTGGTTTTATGTTTTTAAAAAGATGATAAAAACTGTTTGAACTCACTAGGCATTAAGCCTAACCATTTTTATTTGTCAGCACGTGCATCAACTTCTTGTTAGGGTTTGACACTAGAGACATCATGATGGAGTGATGCTGGTTATAGGCACGAGAATAATCTAACTGTTCGTTGACATATTCCACATTTGGAGATATCAAATGTTACAATGTTTTAGTAACACCCGACCTTGCCCTAGTCTCAACGTAAGACTTGGGTTACATATTGTTGATGTTAAATATGGTTTTGCTACTCGGGTTAATTTAAGTATTCGACGCATTACTGGGAATTTTTAATTAGTCACTCTTTCCAGATTTTAGAATTTTAAAAGAAAGTTCTGATCTTCTAAGTTCCAGTTTTCTTTTTTGCTTTGCGGGTTTTATATGATATGGATTCAGTCGTGATTCGCAAGTAAATACCCAATACGAAGAACACCAATTTTGCCTTCCAATCTTTCATTGTAATCATGTTGGAGATGTTACTGTTTCTCTTAAATTTACACGAGTTGTTATGGATATTGATCGAATGTTTTTTGCAACGATCCCATGTTATATTTCACTTGTTTTGCTGGTTTTTGAGTTTCTAAAATGTGAATTGAACTTTATATCAAGACTATGTCTGACAATTGGTAGTTGATAAACTAACTGATGAACAAATTACATTTGAAAAAACTAGCTGTTAAGCTAGATGCTTTAAGCAACCTTCGCATCTTCTGTTGAGATCCCAATTCTCGAGGTAGGCCCTCTTGGCCAATATAAAATGACCAAAAAAGATATCTTAAAAAATTAGTCATTTACAAAATTTTATAATATAATTAAAAAAAATTTCTATAATATAATATGTTAATTAATACAAACAATATACTAAAAAATAATTAAATAATATAATATATTAATTAAAATAATTTTAAATTAATTATTTGTATTATACAATGTTATATTAATAAAATAAATACATATTTTTGGTAAATAAATTGATTTAAAATTGACCTTCCTTTTATAAGGGGGTTATAAAAGCCGCCCCCGCCCCCGCCCCCACCCCGCGCGCTTTCATCCCCTCTCCCTCCAAAAACCAAACTTGTAATACAAGTTTTATATTCATCCGGCTGAAACCCTCGTTGCCATGGTCATGCCACCTCTGATTTACTTACGTGAAGATTCGGCGGAGCTTCATCGGACTTTCGGTTCTCAGTATTTTGAACCTGTGAGTTCCAC